TCGCTGTCTCTCTCTGTCAAATAAATAAATAAAATCTTTAAAAAAAAAAAAAAAGCTGCATAAGTTGTTAAGTAGCATTATGTCCTACGTGTAGGGAGCAAATAGTATAACAGTGGAGATACTCGGTTTTGAGGTTTTTGTTCTCTATTCAAGGAAATAAGTGGATTAAGCCTTGCTAAAGCTACTCTGAGCCAAACTGGTAGTTTTATATTGGGGGTGGGAGGGTATAAGAGGTAAACAGTCCCTTAAATGAAAACAAAGGTAAAAGATCTTGAGTGTGGTGAGGTCCCAAACAGACCAGTGTGCCTGCAATGGTGTGTGATGGGAAGTAGAGCTGGAAAGACAAGCAGGGGCCATGAGCTAGAGTCATACAAGTATGGGGTCCTGTAGCCCTCTGAGCGCCCACTATTTGTGAAGCCATCCTCCCAGGAATTACCTAAAGATCTGAGCCTCCTGACCACAGAAACTTGTGTGTCTTGAACTCTGTAAGATTTTGAAACATAGAAGATCCAAGGTGCAGGGCTGCAGGTAACCTGCTAACATTATAAGATAGGCTCTGGCCAAACTTCCTTGCTGTCCTAATAAGACTCGTCGTGGAGGTCTGTGCAAGAGCTAGATGGTCAGGGGCAAGTGGTAGGACTGTGTCCAACTAAGGGAAGCCCTGGAGCTTGAGTCAGAGGACTCTAGGACGGGAATGGGGTATGTGGGACTAGGGCTGGAAGGCAGGTGACCTATGGGACTGACCGATGGGGCCCCCAAGTGGCTGTGGCCTCTGAGGGCTTTAATCAGACTGGGCATCTGTCCTCACTTGCCTCTGCAGCTCTGCTTTGACAGAGGAATTTTTCACACAGATCCATAATTCTGTTTAGTAACTTATGCAGCTTACTTCCATCACTGTAGATTTCTGACCAATTTACACAGTCCAAGGGTTAACAGAAAGCCTTGATGCCATAAACACATATGTCATCCTAGCACTTTACTATCTCACTGTACATAGATTGTCTCTAGATAATTAAGAACCATAATTGCACTATAGTAATTTTTACTTTCGGGGGGCAGTTAATCAATGTTACAATAAAAGCATTGTCATGTATGACATAAAGGCCTTACTTATTTTTTAAACGAGCTTTCAGGTCTTAGTTGCTATATATGCTCTGCAAAGTTAATATTCTCATTATTTGTTAAGGGCTCCTGAACGTATAAACTCTGAAGACTTAATGACTACTTACAACCAGGGCCATGGTTAATAATTTTAAATCTCTGAGGTACTCATGCCAACCCCTAGCTCTGATTCTTTTAATTAATTCTTTAAAGTTTCTGTCTCTTTGTTACTAAACCAAAGCTTTTCTCAATTTCTTGTTTCGTGGAAGTTCGATGGTGATTTTTTTAAAAAATAATTTTAAAATGGTTTTATACGTATCATTTATACATATCATCACAAAAATGTTCACCCTTCTACAGTGGAATGTCAGCTTCTATTATGTACATTGCTAACAATTTCCCAGTCTGTTCTTTCTCCCAAGTAAGAACACACATACTTGGATTTACCTGGTTCACTGCAAAGGTGATCTGATCGTATACATCACTTTGTGTGTACACTGCGTATGTGTCATCCATTCGGTCCATATATCCTTTTAAGAAGAGGTGTTTGAATGCTATAGTGTTCTCTTCCTTGAAAGCTACAACCATCTGGTTACTTAGCCCAAAAAAGACCAGCTTAAAAGAAGAAAAAAAAGGGGTTGAAAAAGCAAGGGAATAAAAGGTCTCCATATAACAATCAATTTATCTATTCAAGTCTAATTTGTCCTGAATATATTCAATATATATTAAACTTTTGGTAGCTGTAAATTAATCTGGCCTTAAAGATAAAGTGAGCTTCTAGTTTTAAAATGAAAAGAAAGTAGCTTTGCACATTTTCATGTATGATCTTACTTACTTACATCGTTGCCCCCACCACCACTTTCAGAGAAGTCCTCCTTTAGGAGTTTAGAGAAGCAAGGTCACACTGGCTAAAGAAATGGGAAGGTTTCCTTAAGAATGAAATAATGATAGAAACCCCTGGAAGCATGTGCATAACTTGGGTGGGGACATTTGAGGAGCACAGGAAAAAGGCTTAGAAGGTAGAGTGCAACTTAGTACTTTGGCGCCGGGGCGGGGGGGGGGCGGGAACACTGAAGATCCCAGCACAATCCAACTGAAGGAACAGCAAGAAAAAAATGTCGGCAGAAAAACTGGAGGCAGATGGTGCAGGGGCTTAAATGGCAAGTAGATTTTAAAATGAATTGTGCAGGACATCAAGAAGGCTTTGAAGCAGGTGTACAAGGCAATATAAGAAGTTCCTTAAATAAGTCTAAGCCTCCAATCAAATGACTATAGTTAATTGTCAGTTTAATTATCAAAACTGTGACAATAAGACCAAAAATAAAAAACATCCTTTCAACTGATCTCTAAATTAAAGAATATTAACATAATAATATATCCTTACTATTCATGCAGGACTGACCCCAGAGTTTTACATGAAACTCAGTTATTCACGCACAAAAAGTTGTTTAACTGTGCTGCTGTCATTTTAACGTAAGCTCTTTCAATCATACCTGAAACTTTACTCCAGGTGTCTCTTTCACCTTCTCTTCCCTCTGAAACCATCTCAATCTCTTGCTCTCTTGCTCTTTCTCTTTCTCTCTTGCTCTCACATTCTCTCTCTCTTTCTCTCTTGCCCTCACTCTCTCTCACACACACACACATAGACACACACACACACTGTAACTTTAGAACATACACTCTGATTTGGATCTCACAGTGAAACAGGGTGTATTTTATATGGAAAAGGGAAACAACACTGAGCACCTATGTGCCATACCAGGAACTTCCTGCATACTAATCCCACAGTACAGTTCCTAACATACCCATTTTAGAGATGGGTACATAAAGGCCCAGAGAAGTTAAATAATTTTTTCAACACATCACTACCAAGTGTATAGTCAAAATCTGAACCCAGGTCTAACAGAAATAATCCAAGCTCTAGCCACCCTATCAAGCTACACAAAGTAGTACAGGGTCTTACTGGGGAAAAATTGAGCATGCAAATCTTTTCTTTTCTCACCTCTCCTTGTGATGTATGCCCTGCACCCCACACATGCCAGTGCTCTCCATCTAACTGGACTTTTATTTCCAAAGAGCCTCTTTAAGCCAAGTGTCCTATTTAAATCCCAAGAAGAAGACAGCTTGATATTCCAGGGATTTTACATATAATGAAGCAGATGACTGAAAAGCCTCCAGAGAATTCCTAAAGACCAATTACAAATGAGTACCCCCCACATGCCAGCACCGAGCTGGGTCCCAAGGATGCAATGCAGAAACAACAGTCCCTGCCCTCAAGGGTGTACCCATGGCAGAGAGAAAATCCCTGTAACTCAGAGACTGTACCAGGCCTTGGGGAAAGGGAACACTTAGTAGGGTGCCTATCATCAGACCTGTCTTTCTTTTGCTGCTGCAGACACAAAATCTCCAAATGAACTACTTTCCCCTGAGAAGAGGGGATCTGTCACCCAGTCACCCTGTTTTGCTTGGTTACAGAGTCTTTATGTAATATTTGCTTGGTTGCTCTAATACAGGTTAAGGAAACATCACAATTAAGAAAAACCCTCTGGGAGACCTGGGTGGCTCACTTGGTTGAGCGAAAGACTCTTGGTTTCAGCTCAGGTCATGATCTTAGGGTCGTGGGATCGAGCCCTCTGTTGGGCTCTGTGCTTGGCGGTGAGTCTGCTTAAGATTCTCTCTCTCTCTTTCTGCTCCTCTTCACCCCCCACCCCAATCTCTCTCAAATAAATAAATAAATAAATAAATAAATAAATCTAAAAAAGAAGAAGAAGAAGAAAAGAAAAATCCTCAGATGGAGCCTGGCTGGCTCAGCCAAAGAGCTGAGGGTTGTGAGTTCTCATCCCACATTGAGTACAGAGATTACTTAAAAATAAAATCTTAAACAAAACAAAACAAAACAACCCCTCAGTTCCTTTTAAGAATGCCTTTTATATGCTTATTACTAACAGGCTTAACATCTTAAATCATTGGTCACTTTTCCTCTTAACCACCCTAGGAAACAGAGGATGGTTAAATGAGCTCCCTAAAACATTTAGGAGTAGTTAAGAACACAGGTCTTAGAATAAAATCTGAGTTGAATCTCAGCTCCACTCTTCTAGTTTCCTGACTATGACAGATTATTTTACCTCACTAAGCCTCAATATTCTCATCTGTGAAATGGGGATAATTACTCTCACCAGTAGGAAAATATATCTTCACAAGAGTAAATCATAATCACTATATATAAAGAATTGCAAAATATGATTTCCCCAAGAAATGTCAACAAAGTCAAGGACATGAGATTCAAACTCTCCTAAAATGAAGTCCCGTATTTCACTACCTAGGCCACTCCTTTTTGGTTACCTCCACATTTTTCCACTGCAGGGCTATGAGAATCCAAGCCCTTGCCTTAACAGAAAACCCTTGAAGTTTCTGAAGAGAGAGAAATTCCTAGGAAACTAGGAAGGAAAATAATCCTCTGGTAGGGCAACAGCTAGTTTTCACAGCTGATTTAGAAACCTTCAGCTTCTCTATAACAAACCCAATATTAAAATTTTCTTTTCCTAAAAACTGATTCCATTATGTGACTAAAATTGTAATTTAATGAAAGATGAGAAGGAAAAAAAGTAAGAGAAAAAAAAAAAACCCAAAGTCTTCTTTCACAAATATTGAAGAGAGAGGAGTTTAAGATTGTATGTTTCCTTATTTATCGTTCTCCATCATACATACAGTTCAAAGTTAGAAAAAACCACTGTCCTTACTCCTCCTGTTACTAAAAGAGGCCTCATTAAACTCATGATTTGAGATGCTTACCTGTATCGTCACCATCACAATTTTTAGAATTTGTATGGCAAGCTTCCATGGTTTTCTGCCTCGAGCCCAGAACTTCTCACAGGGATTCATGAAAAAAAATTTGAGTTTTCGCCTCATCTGGTCTTCTAACAGAAGCTCCTCAGAGGGCGAGGTATGCTGGTTAAAAGCGCAGCGATTTTCCTCTTCCTGAGAGCTGCAGCTACTTATAACAACCACAGGATTTGCCATCTCTGGGGAGAGGGAAAAAAGACTGTTTCCATTCTGTAACTAAAGGCACAAATCCATATTCTTCGTGATAGTAGGATAGTTGAAGAAGCCCAAACAAAAGATCTGGTTTCAAGTAAGCACCATTGTTCTAAACTGCACTTTAGGTGTTTACAGAATCAACTAGAATGTAACATGTCATGTTTCTTTTTGTTTCAGTTACTAAGTAAATTTTCACCCAGTTGAAAGTTACTGAATTCATGGGCTGCTTCTATTAGGAAGGATTATATGCACATATAGACAGTAATGTACACACTCTCTGCCTCATTCAGTAACAGATATAGTTAGAGCAGGGTGACCTGAAAGCTTATGGAAGGGTTTTAGAAGGTAGGTGGACCCTGGAATTAGAAGCAAAATTTTATATACATGAAAATATGGCCACTTTCCCTGCAGTGATAAAGTTTTATCAGATTATCAAAATAAATTTAAAACCACTGAGTTAAAGGTATCAAGGTGTAATGTAGAGAACTAAGGCCGGGTTTGGTGTCTAATCCTGGTTCTATGACTTGACACCTCTGTAACCCTAGGCAAGTCACTCAGCCTCTCTGAGCCTCAGTTTTTTCTTCTACAAATTGGTAATAACAATACCTATCCTCATATGATTCTGATTAAATAAAAATGCAAATAAAACCCTTGCATAGGGTTCAACACTGAGCAAACAGCTTCACTCTCCCTGCAGCCCCAGCAGCCAGGGCAGCTTCCTAAACAGGCACCAAGATTCTTAAGGGGCAGTGGAAGCTCAGGAAACTTAACTGTTCTACCAAGGGGAACGCAGAAGCTCAATTTAAGTCCAAATCCCAATCAGCCACATCACTTGTATTTGATTTTTATTGGAGGCCTTATATTTATGTAGTACATTTTGCTTTTCAAAGTACATCGGATCTATTATTTCTTTTGTCTCTTTGAAAAGGATGGGGCTAGTTTTATTGTCTTTGTAGTCAGCTTTTCCAGACTGACTAAGATGTCACTCCAGAAGTGGGGACTTCTCTTGGATTTTCACTCAGATTCATTAATACTATGGAAACCCCAAACCACATGGGAGAGTAGAGTGCTTCCATGTAGACTAGAAAGGCTGGCTCTGTAGTGATATTTTTACAGTGACTTCTCTACTCAGAAGTCAAGGTGGGGGTAGGAGGGAATCAAACTATAGTAATACAACATCTAGCAAGTCGCTGTTTAGGTATCACCCTGCTTTTCAAGTATAGAATCCCACATTTGGTTCTGATTCAAACATTCTTAGCAAATCCGACATCTCCAAGTAATAGATATTGGCTATAAAAACTAGCTATGGGGAAAGTTTTTACAATATTGATTAATGAAAAGATTAACAAGGATAGTGCTGAGTCAGTAAAGCATGAAACATATTTGCAATGGCATAAAAATAGCATATGCAGTATCTTCAAAGTGAAATAATTATGATAGAACTCGTTCAGGTATGGTTCTTATGTCTTAAAATCCCTGTCAAAGTATGAGTACAGAAACTCTCAGGTAAAGACATAAGGGAGAGAAAAAAAGTTATTAATCCCGTAGGATTTTCATTCAAGAACATTTTATTTCCTTCTTCAAAAACGAGCATTTAAAGAGACATTATCTATGGGATGTAAAATGAAGGTGATTTTATGTTAATCAAAACTGGCACATGAATACCAACAACAGTAATGAAGCTGGTAATAACAAAACATGTTGGTGAATTACAGATTTGAGGACACATTAAGCCCTTTCTATTTTGATACAGGGAAAAGTAAACTTTAAACAAACAACACACGCCGTGTAACAGTAACCCACAGGAACAAAGAGAAAATGAGCCAACCACAATTAATTTATTCAGCACATGGCATCAAGTTGTCCCCGAAGCAAGGCATTTCATTCACAAGGACTGACCACTACGCTGCAAGCGTTTAGCTTTACCAAGTCACAGAGGCCCTTGGAGGGGTGCACCGTATTTTTTTTTTAAAGATTTTATTTATTTATTTGTCAGAGAGAGAGAGAGCACGAGCAGGGGGAGCTGCAGAGGCAGAGGGAGAAGCAGGCTTCCCGCGGAGCAGGGAGCCCGATGCGGGACTCGATCCTAGGACGCCGGGATCATGACCTGAGCCGAAGGCAGACGCTTAACCGACTAGCCACCCAGGCGTCCGGGGGGTGCACTTTAAAAACAGCAAAGTGTCCGGACCCCTAGCCGCTGAGGGAGTGCCAACCACCCTTCACGCAGCCCCGGAGCTGTGCGCGGGATGCACGGTAGGCGGAGACGCGAGTCAGGAGAGTCCATCCGAGGGACCAGGCGCGCTCTTAGAATCTACAGACTGACACACACAGGTTATTTATTCACGGCGACGAGAGGCTTTATTGGACTGAGCTGCAGAAAGTTAGAGAAAACCAGGGAATATGTATATTTAGAAAAACCTCACAGTTGATAAAGTAACACAACCTAATTTCTTCAGAAGCGCTTTCTCACTTCACCAGACACGAAACTCCTTTCTTTCCTTCCTTCCCTCCCTCCCTCTTCGTTTCGCCGGCGTCGGGACCGACCGCGCGAAGCGCTGCGGTCCGGGGCGGGGAGGAGGTGCAGCGGCTCTCCCGAGAGCGCCGCCGGCCGCAGCGCGCCCCCTCCCCGGCCTCCGCGCCGCGGGCAACTTCCACCACGGGGCCTGGCTGGAGGCCGCCTTCGCCCAGTCCAGGGACCCTGGCTTTGGCCCCCATTTCCATCGACCCCCCCCCCCCATGCCTCTCATAAAGGCCACTCGCGTCCAGAGAGGCTGGCTGAGCAACTTCAGGACCGTCTCTGAGCCCCCGCCCGGGTCTTCCAGGGCGAGACTCTGCCGCAGGTGGCTCTCTGCTCTCGGGGTCCCTGCCCCAGGCTTCCGGGTGGGCGACGGTCCGGGCGGGGTTGCGCGGCAGAGGTGCGGGCTACCCCAGCCCGAGCGCCCACCCACCCCGCGGGGCCCCCGCCCGAGCCCCGGCCGCCACCAGCCGCCACCAGCCGCCACTGACCTTGCGCGGGCGGCGGAGCGCGCGCCGTGCCGAACCGCTGCAGCTCGCACCCGGCTCCCACCTGTGTCCCTTCCATGGCGCCGACGTCCGGGGGCCTGATCCTCCCGCTTGTGTCAACGACGGCTCGCCCCATCGCCGTCCCTCCCCGCACGCCGCCGGCGCCGCTCCCACGACACATGATGCTCGGGGCGGCGCCGGGCTCGACTCACCTGCGGCTCGGGGGCAGCGTCAGCGGGGCGGGGGCGCCAGGTCTTCGCAGCTGCAGGGGGCGCGGCAGGTCGGCGCGCCGCTCAGGAAGCCTGAGACTCCGCTCAACCCCGTCCAACCGGAGCCCGGCGGCCGCGAGTTGCCGCCGGTGGCATCCTCCCCACTTCGGCCGCTTTGACCCGTGACCCGCTTCCCCTTTCCTCCCACTCCTTTCCACGCCCTTTCTGGGTAGTCTTTCAGCCGGCCAGGTGGGGCAAAGGAGACCTCCGATTGAGCCCGGCGCTGTCCGCGTCTCTAGACATCCCTTCACGCCCCTCCCTGTTCCCATAAACAACCCGCATAGCCCTACTCGCGTTTCTCCCGTGCTCCGAGGTGACGCGCTGTGCGGTGCAAGTGCGTGGGCTGTGCGCTTCCGACCGCAAAGGGGCAACCCTCGCGGCCCAGGCCTCTCCCTTGCTTGTGGGGGGTGGACACGAGGATGGAGCCTGGAAGGAGCCTGGCTGCGGGGGGTGCTCAGTCCTCTCCAGCGGCAGTCCGTTCTGATGTCTGCCTACAGGGGAAATCATCAAGTGTAAGACTTTGCAGGCCCGAGCCTTGTACCTCCTCTAGGCCTTCAGGCTTTGCAGAACTGCCTGTAGACCGTTAACTAGACTCCTCTAGACCGGGTGCTGGGGACAGAAAGCCCTGGAAAGCTTTTAGGAGAAATGTGACTGGATATACTTGAGGTAGTGACAAAGATTCTTTGCTTGACCAAACATTAGCCATGCTGCTAAACCTCCTAGGCTCATCTCTGCATTTTCTTGTAAAATCCAGTTTTAGCAAGAACCCTAAGTCAGTTTGACCAAAACACTCCCCCCCATACACCCCTCAATATCTGATCATCTTCAATATGTATTTAGGTTCCTATCCTCCACCACCCCCGGGGTGAAGTCTGATCACCCTGGGCTCTTTTCAGCAAGAATCCTGTTAGGTGGGTTTAGTCAAAACAACCTTGTTCTTTGCTCTTAGTAATTTTCCATTCACTGACCCCTACACTGCTCCTGGGCTATCTATTTCCACTTGCCCATACTGTATTATGAGGTGAGCCTCATCTCTCTCCCCCACGGTAAAATCCCATTGCAGGCGTTCCTATAACTATCTGGATTGTCCTAAATAAACTCTGCCTTACCATCTTTTTTTTTTTTCTGCCTTACCATCTTAATCGTGTCATCCACTCTTTTTTTTCCCTTAAGAGTAGCTCTTCAGTTATAACCTTTCTCTTCATGAATTCTTTTTAAAAATTAAACCTAAGCTTACTTCTTATCAGGAATAGGTCAGGAACTTTGATTACTTTTAATTACAACCACTTCAGGTTTGTTTTAATTGATTTTTTTATTATTTTGGGGGCCATGGATGTTTGTAAAGGTCACCGAATATCCATAAAAGGTAATTCCCCCCAAATTACATCAGAGCTGTCAGATCTTTTATAAAAACTTTTTAAAATCCTAAACCAGGGGCGCCTGGGTGGCTCAGTCGTTAAGCGTCTGCCTTCGGCTCAGGTCATGATCCCAGGGTCCTGGGATCGAGCCCCGCATC